CGGCCAGGAATTTTCCTTGCTTTTGAACCGCTTTATGCTAATTTGGAATAGGGTGTTTTCTGTGCGTGTGTGTGTGTGTGTGTGTGTGTGTGTTTAAGTCTTTAAAGTACCCCTTACCCAAAAACTTGTTTCGACCAAATAAATCTCATTTTCTTATGCAAGGAATTATCGATTTTTATGTAAGAAATTATCGATTTCTAGGCGTGACGGTCAAATCGTGCCTCGCCATGTCACTCGATCGATAATAGTAGAGAGTCGAGAATGTGATTCTCAACGCGTTGAACGGAGAGTCTCAGCAAATTGAGAGATATTGGTCCGGAATTCCATCATTGTCTTGCATATAGAATAGATAGAATAGAGGAGATGGTGTTGTGTGTAAATGAGCAAAGCCCATGAACATTCAACTTTTAATTAAAATTACCTCCAATATCAATGACAAGGTATTTTGATCCAGGCCTTGCAAAAACGTCAGATACATTAGCATCTCCTTTCTCTCTGATAAAATCTCTCATCTTCATTTCCCTACAGTAAACAGAAGCTGCTTCTGGTTCCAAGGCAATAACCAGCTGACCGGGTGCATCCTTTGATACTATTTCCGCCTGTGACAAATACGATAAAACAAACAAACAAACATGAAACGTATCAAAACAAGAACTATGTAACAATTCACTCCCTCCCCCGTGACTCTCCAAACTGAGATTGATATCTCGGATATGTTTACTTCAAGAAACTTGTATTCCCTTGTTTCCTTTTATAATTCGTTTCATGGTGACTTTTCTTAATCTAATCTTCGTTGGAGACCTTTTAGGGAAGCCTTCATCTTCATGAATAATTTCGGCGCTCGAACTTCACATGAATTTTAACACACATACAAACACTGAATAAAGGGGAAAAGTTTCCAAAGAAAGTGTAGCGGTGCATCAGTGAGGGAGTGTAAAAATTAACGAATGGTAAACACCACAGTGTACACTGTTGAGTAATGGTGCACGCGAGAGGTTGCTAAGCTCGAAAAAAGCGTAAGAGTTATGCGAGGCGATGGCCGAGAGCGACCCTAGCTCCTTGAGTACTTAGCAGAGCTCCCAAGTGCGTCCAAACTCAATACTGTACACTATGGCGTTTACCATTTGTTTTATAACATAACATTGATACATTGTAGATAGATAGATAGATAGATAGATAGTTTGTCAATAACCGATTTGCAACCAAAAGTTGAATTATACGATTATTTACAAGTTTCAAACATTGATAATTACGTTAGACTAAATGTATTAAAACAGCAATGAGAACACTAAATATATGTTCTAAAAAAAAAACGGTTGTATAAAAACCGTTCAAGCCTTAAGGGCATTGAAGGTAATAAAACTGTTACGAAACTTGTTCGTCTTAAAAACTGGCTTAAACTTCCGCATATTTCTTAGGTTAAAGGTACATGTGTTGCGAGTAGGAAGAAGTTCATGGAGCTTGTTCTGTTCATTCTGTAAAACATTCTTAAATAGTTTATCAACTAGTTTCTGGCGGCGATCTGAAAGTTTAGTCAGGCCTGATTCAGCCAAGGCCTCATTATATGAGNTATTACTTAAAAACATTAGATCTCACGGGACTCTAGCGCGGTGAGGATCTATCTTTAATTATATTTCCTGTTTTTAATGATTACATTTTATATTTTATATATTCAACTCGGTGACTACATTATTAAATTATTATATTTTAATATTAGCTAGTTCTTAATTCTTAATTTATTTAAATTTATATACCTTCACAAGGCTTTATAATTCCCTTTTCTCTTTTTATTTCGTGGCGTACCTGTAAATTAGCTTTTAGCTAAGCGTTCTGACCACGTTAACTAAATTGATTGATTGATTGATTGGAAATCTATCGCAGAGAGACATCCCTATTCCAAGTCAAAACGGTCCTCATTTATTTTCCCTGTGCGGTTGCAGACCCTATGCGGCTTGCGCCATTTATATAGGCCAGAAGGAAGTATTAATAGATATGCAGGAGGAGAAATAAATTGGGCAAAAAAGATATGTACCTCACATGCAGCTTCTCTCATGAATTGCTTAGCGGCAGGTTCCCAAATGGCAGGGACTGTTATAACCCACTGAATATCCTTTTCACAGTACTGTCGGTCTCCAGTTCTCTCGCGGATAATTTCGATAGCTTGATCTTTAAGGTATCTTATCGAGTGAGCAAAAACCAACAAAGCGTCGAACAACTTTCCATTTTGAGCCGTAAGCTTGGTATTTCTGTCTAAAGTCTGTTAGAACAAAATGTTTGAATATATACTCAGATAACTTAAAGCCATAAATAATTTTCCTGGATTTTCATTCTTTCTTCTCGTTCGCAAGTAACGCTCTCCTTACTACTTAGACTTTTAGATATCATCATTATGAAAAATTATATCTCATTTTTTTTACTTGTAGTACCTCGTCCTCACATATTCTTATCACTTTTGGAACAATAGGAACTAGGAACAATACTTGCAAGGAATGTTTTTTGAAAATAAGATTTATTAATTGCGAATGAATTATTTGGTAGTCTGGTAGTCTTCTTCCCAAAATGAGAGTACTTTCGCTTAATATGAGGTAATCGCATATTGTTATTATTATTTTCTCATTTGATTTTGTGGTATTTTTTAAAACGATTCATATTTTCTGATTGTTAAAGAAAAGACTATGAAACATACTAAGACATGAAGGAAATAACCAGCAACCAAACAAAAGAAATACTAGTACTCCTGGGATTGAAAGGTTTACAAACGAGTTACAAGATCACAATGTAAAGCTGTAGTCGGTCAAACCACAATGGCTTTACCTTGGAATTATGAAGTGTCATCTTAAAATGTTTGAAGTAGAGATATTCCTGATCTTCGCCATTAAGAAAGTTGGCGTACTTTTCCTCTGCTTGGTATCCAAATGAGTCAAATTTCCCATCAGGGCGAAGTAAAAGAGAAGTCGGCGTTTTAAGAGTTGCTGCTCCCTGGTCGTATCCCCATTTTTTGTTTACATGGATTCCTCCTTCTCCTTTCTTTTGGTTGAAAGCAAAAGCAAAGCCACTGTATGTGGTCCCAAAGTCAATAGCTACTACGGCTATGTAAGGAGAACCTGCAGATAAGATCGAACCTTTAAATTTTAAGGAGCAAAGATTAGCTTAAAGTGAAATTGATATGCCCCAGCCAGGGCTGCGTCGAAAGCTAGTAACAGTATAATATTCTTACGAGTTGGAAGCTCGAGGAACTGTTTGAATGGTTTTCACTGTTTTTTTTCTGATTATGCGCTGAGAAATAGTATCAGTACACTTTGGCGAGATATCTGACATTATATAAACTCCAGTTAAAATATCCATCTAACTTCCGGCCGGAGAGCAAGAGCTAGAAGAACTCTCTGGTTCCTTGTTCGCTTTCGTTTCAACAATGGAATAACAAAATCTGACACTCTAACTCTTCACACTGATCAAATAATTATTTTCGGTACTATGTGAGCTTGGATCTTGGGTTTACATAAGATGTATTCGAGTACAGAAAACGAAAGTAATGTATGTTCCGTGCATTATATGCATGTTTCGTTCGTAAATCAAACTTGTAAATCAAACACTTGTGGCATTTATGTCGATAATTCCTGTGATCAACGGTTAATGATAACAGAAGGGTTGAAGCTTACGATCTACTTTAAAGAGGGAATGGCCATGGTTATTTTTCAATTCATTGCAAAAGGGGTTTGCTTGTCAACATCTACTCCAACTTTCTGTTTCATCACTAGATGCAATCACATGACGTTAACTTTGTGTTCCCCAGAAAATGTTAAATTACAGTTTGTTCGAGGAAGTTAAGGATTTTAAAACTCACCACTCATACTGCGTTTTATTTGAGGATCATAAGAGGCGAAGAATATGTTTTCAATCGTAAGCCGCGTCCATACATATAAAATGCTTCGGTGTTGTTCCAAGAGTTTTTTCCATGTCCTCTTTTTCCCAGAAACCCTTTTGCGTCAGATACATTTCAACATATTTCCGGTTTCAGTCGAAATCTACCGGAAGTGATATCATATAGCGATCCATTTACTGCTTCTACTTTGGCTTTTTATACTTGTCTGAAAATATTTGCTTAAAGGCAGAGTGAACGTAGGATGTGACGGCCCTACAGCAAAAACACACTTTAAAATCATAGCCACTAGCTCTTTAATCACCGATGAAGTTAAGAAAATTGTGGTGTTTGGAGAAATCGTGATCGATAGCAATGAAAGGGTTGTTCTGTATTGGTATAAAAGCTGAACTAGTTATCGTATCTTTATTAGGAACTTTATGCACTTAAGAAAGCAACGCTAAGGAAGACGTCGATAAAAAATGGACTCACACTTTCATCTAGGAATTTGCGAATGGCTGGATTTGTGTACCGTCTATTGTGGTGCTTCACCTCAAGTGACTTAAGCAAAACGTATGGAAGCAGCGTTGAGATCCAAATAGAAACTTAGATAATTTACGGACGGGGTTTCCGTTCTCAGACGAAGCAAACTTTAGTAATTTCATATGTAGAGGAAGGCTAAGAAATGTATCTCATTTTCAACGCATGTAATGAGAAATGTTTATGCCCATTATATCTTTATCTCCATAGTTTGGACAGGTCTAAAGAAGGGGTCATTAGAAGAAATTTGAAATTTATTTGAGCCAAAAATTAAGGGTGAGGGAACAACAGACAGTCAAATATTTTTTTTTTCATAGCAGGCCATGCCGCAACGATAAAAATACACGATTAATCATTCTCCTCCATAGAGAAGACGTAGGCTGTCATTTAAACTTGAACTACACACTTAACTCTTTGACGCTCCCACTGTCAATTTTCAAAACTGTATGTATAGGGCTACAATTACGAGTTTAATTACGAGAAAATCCTCCATAGATTTATAAATTTCTTAGCAAGTGGATCAATGATTAAGGTTACTTAAAAAAATTAAGTTGGAAACGTTTTTTTGATAAGTTACTGTCACGATGTGACACCTGTCAATTGAAGAGAAAAAAAGAGCATGCACGCTTTTGAATAAACAACAGTACTGGTATGACAAACACACACGAGTTAAATAACCGTGCGACGATCTTCCCGCTTGAAAAAGCACTCAGAGATCTTACGGAAAACATTGTTTATATCCAACGACGAGTGATCTTCGAAGATTTACCTCTGTTCCGTTTTAAAATGTCACGGAAAGTCAAATTGTAAGTGAATGCAAATAATTATGTGTTTTGAACTTGTCAGTCTGTTTGTTTGTTTTTTTGCAACGGTGTGTGTAAATCTGTCTTTCTTCCACCGAAAAGCTGAAGTCAGTGAGACTCTTTCCAGCTAGACACAAAGGAGATTTAATGCGACTTTTATCCATTGAATTCCTTTCGTTTCTGTTGCGAAATTTACAGTAGAAATGTCCAAATTCAAGAGACTAGCAAATACTAGGCGAAAGTGTAGTGCCCCACCAGAAATGTCAAGGCAACGAAACCTAGCCTTCCATAGGCCAAAGGCCCTCTCAATGATGTTTCGTGTTTTAGTGTGAGCCTTCTGGTATTTCCTTTGGGTTGCGTTGACACACTATCGGGCCTAAAAGGGGTCAGCAAATATGGCTGGATGCCATATCGACGATCCCCCAGCAGCCAACCATTTCTTCCGCCATCGCCTTTTAGGTGTATGTGCAGCATGCTGGCAGTAAAAATGGCTGAGTCATTGACACTGCCATGCCATCGTGAACAACCGTTGTGCATTGCACACTGCCATGTTTATGGCAGGAAAGCCCTTATGGCACACATACAAATGTTCCTGATTATTATTGATGGGTATCAAGGAGCCATCCACAGCAATCCACAGCCATCCACAGATAACAAAATATTTGTGGTAGGAACCAATTACCCGCGGCATTCCTGCTATATTGTAAAGTCAGCCATTGTTGCCTGTAGGACAAGGAAAAAGTATTCAATTTCTATAAATTTCAGACATCATACTTTCATCTAATTTCTTTAGACTTTAAGGGTTAAATGTCTCCCATTCCCTACACCTTCGAAAAGAAATTCCAGAAAGTAAACCTTGTAATTGTTTTTGTTCCTGGATTAACCCATTAAATTCCTAAACCAAATTAACAAATGGTAAATGCCATAGCCTACATTATAGAGTTATAGATGCAAGCAGAAGGTTGCTGAGCCCAAAAGAAGCATGAGAGTCACCCAAGGCAACTGAAGGCTTGAGTGCCTAGCAAACCTCCTAAGTACATCCATAACTCAAAAGTGTACAGTTGTGGCATTTACCATTTGTTTTATAACATATTCATTGATACATTAGAGCATTAAAGAAGTCCTTTCATTGAGCTACGTCACATAACCACAAATGTCATAAGCGTACACCCATGGGCACATAGTAGACAATGAATCAACCAGCAAGAGCACCTGCTTTGCTTTAGATAGAAAAACA